GAACTTTTGAATATTGCTACATCCTTACCTTGACCCAACACCTGCATCCCTAAGACCTTCACCCCCTTTTTCGTCGGGTCAGTCTTGTTGAGTACTTTTGTACTCAGGGTTTGTTAACCCTTGTTGCAGGTGAGTCGCATGAGCAGGCTTGTTTTGGTCCCTGCTGCATGTCAGTGTTTGAAGTCGATGACAATGAGGAATGATGAATGGCCTTTGGACAAGGCACTAGTTTGTGTGAAATAAATAATGTTAATGTAATATTATCCCGCTTCTATGGTTGTATGACACTTATGGTTTTGTAAGTTTGAAACAACTAGTTTGTAATATTAAAACATAAGTCTTCCGCTTTACAATCTCTGGTATGTATATCGAAAACTGTTGTAATCTGCAATGTCTGTGATTGAGATCCTATTTGAAAAAGATTCGTGGATGATTCGGGTTTCCCGAGGACACCCGACAGACCTGTTAAGTTATTGGAAACTCGTGTACGCTATCAAAGGTCTATTGAGACAACGATAGATGCACGTGGGCCTGATTTCTTAGGAGGTTCTGCCACAGTGAGCCACGACTTGGTAGTGAAATATCACTACTGGTAAGAGTCACATTTCGACAATGTACGTGGGATATGACTTCCGGGTCAGTGATATGGGGGATAACACAGAGAACTTCAGCAAGGAAAAACATATAGATGTCCAGAAGAAAGACCCACCTACCTATGACAACGCCAACTCCCTCCTAGTTTCTGGTGGTTTGAGACATAATGCTAATCTTCAGTGTGCCTAAGGTCTATGAGTTGAAGACACAACACAAGCTCATAGCACGAATAGTCAACACGGTGCAACCGATGGTACCAACCTTCCATAGGTTGTTGGAGAGAGAAATCACCTTTGATATGCCTGATCACCCCGATCACATACTAGAGCTTAGACGCTACCTCCTCGTGGTCGACCCCTTCGTGGCAAACTTTCGGATGACCAAGGTCCCGATGGACAATGGTAACAGCCTCAACATACTGTACTAGGACACCTTCGAGAGCACAACATCGATGAGGCCGCCCTTAAGCCATCGGATGCACTGTTCCATGGAGTTGTCCCAGGAAGATGCGCCATGCCGCTTGGTGGCAACACGCTCCCTGTCACATTCGGTGATGAACGTAAACTTTTGGACTGAGAAGCTATCCTTTGAGGTGGTAAGCTTCAACGGGTTGTACAACGCCATACTCGGAAGGCCATGCTACTCCAAGTTCATGGTAGCTCCGAATTACGTCTACCTCAAACTCAAGGTCCTAGGGCCCAAGGGCATCATCACGGTGCATGGTAACTTCCAAAGCGCATATGAATGTGAAAGCCCTATTTTTTTTGTAATTGAGACAACTAGTGGACTAACCTCAACTCTAGTGTTGTGTATGAGATAGGTTAGGTCCACACCAAGGTTGAGCAAGGATGGCACTCATGGAGGAGATGATTGTGGCATTATGGTGATCAAGTGCTCAGTTCTTAGAAAAGAAGAAAGAGAAAAACAAAATATATGGGCTCAAGACAAAGGTATAAGCTACGGCATTTTGTTTTGCCGGTCAAGACGCAAATAGAGCGTGTGATCAGATTCAGGATAGATGGTCATACTAGTAAGAGGGGAGCTCTAATTAGCGGATTCAATCATCTAGTGCCACTAGGTGTTGGAACTACATGTATGTGCATTTTGGCCTCATGACACAGATCGGCGAGCAAGCAAAAATGTTTGTGATACACTTTGAAAATGCTAACTTTGGTCTAACATGTTTGGCAAAATATTTAAGAGTTGGCATGCTTGCTAGGAGACGAAGCTGTGCTCTTGGTGATACTATTTAGCATGCACCGGACGTGTCCGGTGTGCCACCAGACATGGCACTGGATGTATCTGCACTATCGCAACCAAGTTTCCAGCCGAGCACGTATGAGTCCAATGTGCATCGGACATGCATGACGGGACAGGTCTGGTGTGTCCTAGAAGAATATCGAAGAGTTCAAAGTTAGAAATCACAAAAAAAAGAGTTCAAAGTTAGAATTTACTAGAAGCATACCCCGCGCGTTGTCGCGGGAGTTTCTTAAAAATAAATCTGTTATATACATAACATTACTATATGGTATTCTATATACCGTGTATATATATGAATTTGACTTGTATGTTATTTTATTGTATTAGATCTGGTAAAAAATCGATAAGCTAATAGAAGAAAAATCAATAGAATATTTTATTACATTATAGAGGAATAGGTGATAAAACAAATAGCGTATGTAGATGACTTATATGTTAATAGATTAAATATTAAAAGTAGTGCACATGATAGAGATGACGTCGACATTTTTATAGTTAATAAGGGATGACATGGACTTAGGGGATAATATGGACACCTTGCATGAAGAGATAGAACATCTAGTACATGGGTTCACTTAGTGAGGAATAATGTGGATACCTTGCATGAAAAGAAAAATCATCTAGTGAGATTTAATAAGGGATGATATGGACTTAGTGAGGATGATGTGGGCACCTTGCATGAAGAGATAGAACATCTAGCGGGACCACTTAGTGAAGAATGACGTGGACACCTTGTATGAAGAGAAAAATCATCTAGTAGGGTTTAGCTTTATAAGAGTATATAGATTTGGCTCTAAAAATCACCGGAGATTCCTTTGTGGCACCGGACGCCGCACCGAACAGGGGTTATAGAGAGCATGTTTTTAGGTGGTTTTGAGCATTGTACTCACCGGACATGTGAACAGGTCCAACATCTAGTTTTCGGGCCATTGGAAAGTAGCCATTGGGCCATCTTGTGCGGTGTCCGATGTGCCACCGGACATGTCCGGGTCCCCTGCAGAAACTGCATCAAGAGGATAATGGTTGGTTTGTTGAGGGGGTCTATAAATGGACTTGGTGGCCGGCCTTATCCACACTTTTGGCACCCCATACACCTGTGCACACCTCTTGATGGCTGAGAAACACACTCCACTCACTTTTATCCTTTGATTCTTCATTTTGTTGAGATATATTAGAGAGCCTCTAGTGCATTTGCATCATGTCCTTGCATTTTGTGGCACTAGTTGGGCGAGTTGGGCTGGTGGATCTCTTGTTACTCTTGATGATTGTCATCACCTAGCTGGCCCGGTGATTGGAAGGATCATTGAGTGGCTTTGGTGATTGTTGTCGGCTTCGATCGAAGCTATTGTAAGAGGCTCTTGTGCTCATCTTCGTGGGAGATCGTGAAGGGCAACTCTAGTGGAATCATGGCAAGTTGGTGTGCACCTCTTGAGTGCTTCTTGCAGCACCCAAGTGGTGGGTTTGGCATGTGAGGCCAATTAGCTCATGAACTATCAAGTGGGGATCGGACTCGCCACAACAAGGACATAGGTTGTTAGCAAGCAACTAAACCTCAGAGATATATCTTGTATCATCACTTGCCCCGTATGGTTTGCTTACTATCACTCTTGCTTTTACATTCATATTCTTGCTAGTGTGGTTGTTGTGTGCCTTGAGCTAGTGTAAAGTAGTGTTAGCTCTTTGAAGGTGTAACTAGTGTAGTGGCTTTCTTAGTAGCTTTAGCTAGTTGTAGCTCTTTAGTCTTGTTAGTAGGTTGCTTGTTTGTGTGACTTAGATTAGAGACCAAGGTCCTAGCATTGTTTAGGGGCTTGCTTTGGGTGTCAAAGTAGAAGCTATTTGGGCCATTTATTATACTAACCACTTTGCTCTAGTATTTGTAGGTTTGTAGGAAAAATTTTATAGGCTATTCACCTTCTAGCCATCTAGATCCTATTAGAATGGGACAAGGAGGGTGCCGAGCTCACCGATGTCGTGATTGCTTATGACAAGTACGAGCTCATCAAGGCAGTGAAGACCAAGGCAACTTTAGAGTCCGGTGTCCCAACCATGGCGTTCAAGACGTTGGATGACACCAAGTGCATCCAGCTTGACGCTGGTGACAACTCCAAGACGACCAACATCAGCATGACCCTCCGTCATGTATAGGAAAGCGCCACAAATCAACTTTCTCCACAAGTATAAAAACATCTTCGCATGGAAGCTGTTTGGCATGTGCCTGGTGTCTTGAGGATGGTTGCAGAGCACTCCCTAAAGATTAAACCGAGCTCGAGGCTGGTTAAGCAATGCCTATGTCGATTCCACGAGGAGAAGCGCAGGTTCATAGCTGACAAAGTAGCTAAGGTCTTACTCCCTTTGTCCCAAATTATCTGTCACTTTTAGTTTCCGTGCCGCAAGTTTGACTCGATTTGTAGAAAATGCGTACAACATTTGTATCTCTAAATAAATTTATTAAAAAATTAGATTCAAAGATCTTTCCAATAATACCAATTATGTACCATAAATATTAATATTTTTTAATTTATATTTTGTCAAAGTTGTTTTTCAGGAAGCGAAAACGATTAATATTTTGGGACGGAGGGAGTAATTAGCTGCCAGCTTCATTAGAGAAGTCCGACACCAGGAATAGCTAGCTAATTCAGTCCTTGTAACAAAATAGAATAAGCAATGGAGCACGTGCATTGATTATACGGGCCCGCATCGATCCTTACTATTATTGAGTTGCTCGCTCGTGCCTCTTATTATTGCAAGATGTAGTTGGTGAATGGTGACTGGTGAGTCGTCAAGTTCTGATAGTTATATATTAACAGTGTGACGTTATAGTAACGCTTCTTTCCGTGGTGTTCACTCGCATTATATATGCAGCGTTGATCTGTAGTGCATCAATCATCTTTACCTTTGCGGCTTTGCATTTTTTGGTGCTGGATGGATGATTATTTGTGGTCCTAATCAGAGATATAATGTTTTTTGCTGGACAGACATCCATGCCCAGGCTATTCCTGCTTAATAGGATATTTTTCTTTCACCAGCAAACCCTACCTTCCACCTATATATAACTTGGTCCTCACTTGTATATTATATATTCAGTCAGTCACTCAACACCCACGCAGAGAGAGAGAGAGAGAGAGAGAGAGAGAGAGAGAGAGAGAATGGGCAGCACAACAGGGCTTGTGGACTGGCGAGGGAGGCCGGTTGATACCAAGAAGCATGGGGGAGTGAGAGCTTCAATGTTTATCCACTGTAATCGACGCTCTTTTTCACCTTAATTATCATTGTGAATACATTGTTTTGCTCTGCGATGATGTTTATACTCCCGCTGCAATAAATTAAACCTGATAAATAAATATACACCCCATTCACACCCTTGTAATGTTCACCGTTCTTTGCTCTATCTGCGCATGCTTGCAGTCCTGGTATGGCTCGGCAACGTAGTCAACATCGGCAACAGCATGAACATGGTGAGCTACCTGCGTGGCACAATGAACATGGGAGTCGCGGCCGCCTCTACGACCAGCACCATGTTTTTGGCCGTCATGCAGATGTTCTCCATCCCGGCAGCCTTCGTCGCGGATTCCTACATCAGGCGCTTCTACACCGTTCTCATTTTCGCACCTATTGAGATCCTGATATATCTTTAACTCGTTCTTACTACAGCATAATAGCTCCTGCAGCCCTTGACTCTTTAGGTGAAAAGTAGCTAGCATAACTAATAAAAATATCGCTGCAAAGCTAGCTCTTCTCTTTGACTTACTCCAAAAGGTGCCTGAATCCATTGTGCATGTGGCCATACGTAGCTTATTTTCATTTCTGGCAATCATAACTTGGGCAACCGGATGTTCAGGCAAGTATACATGATGTTGGCACATTTTTTTGCAAAAATAAAATAAAATGGTGTCAACATTTGTAAGAAAACATCATCATTTCTTGCACCATAAATATGGGTTCCACCAATGGAAATTTGTGCAATTTTAGTTAACATTATATATTATGAATAAAACCTAATAATAAAAAGTGCATTCATTGCATTTTTTACAAAAAAATGATTTTTATATGCATGCATATTATTTATACCTAATAATAAAGAGGCAAAATTTTCGGCCATTTTTCTTCGTCCATCCATTTTTTTGATCCATCACCCTCTAACTACCAGACAATGGAGAGTTTCTTCCATCCAGACTTATATATATACAATCCGTGCGTATACGAGTTAGAATAACTCTTGTCTAGCGCAATACAGAATCCGATTCCAAAATGTATTGGGTTGTATATGGTCTATGTTGAACCAAAAGTCTATACTCCTATGCAAAAAAAGTCCATACCCAATATGATTACTATATATAGTAAATTCATTTTTTCCTTTACCCGATCCGTTTTTCATTTTCGTATTCGTTCCACTTCTTTTCCTGATTTCCTCTTTTTGTTTTTTCTTCCTCTTTTTCCTTTTTTTTCTTTTCTGGACTATCAAGTCCGTTCGTACCCTTTCCCTTATTATTTTGCATGTCATCTTTGTTTTCCCCGATTCTCTCATGATTTTTCTTATAAAAATAAAAAATAATAAACACAATATTATGAGTCTTTGGATCCTTCATCCTTCCCTAACCTTAATAATAATCAAATATTCCTACTACTAAATTATTGATGTAATTTGATTAAGAATAAAAATGATTCTTATTCTAACCTAGATCAGATAATGGTCTAACTAATTAAATCATGAACAGAAATCTTAGAAGTTTATTGTCTAATCTAACCGGGAAGCGGCAACTGGGGTTACGCCGCGCCGCGGGAAGCGGTGGCTGCCGGGCGGCGAGGCGGCCACGACAACCTGTTGGGGTGGGGAGGCAAGAGGAGAAGGTGCAGGGGGGAGGAGGTGGCCGACGTTGCGAGGTAGCTGCCGCTTACGGCAGTGACGGCGAAGCGGACACGGCCACTAGGATGGAGCCCTAGCGAGCGAGGTGGGCTGCTTGCAGGGGTTCCTCTTTTTCACTAAAGTTTTCTGCTCTTTCATGGATAATTAAGTATGTTTATATATTTCTACTGATTTGGTATGACATAAGGAATTTGCTAATTTGGCTGACATTATTCTAAATTGTACTTTTATAGACGGTCAGTGTCCTAATGTAATTATTGCTTCATTGCCGATGGATTAAATGCAAAATATACATATTAGCAACTAAGTAGAGATACAAGTTTTGATTTCCTCCCGTTGCAACGTACGAGCATGTTTGCTAGTAATAACAAAAACCAAGATGCTCAAAAAGTAGAAACATATAAAATTTCGCCCACGTTTTAGTGGTCACCATTCACCAAGCTCTGTACACAAACACACCTGTTTTCTGGCAGGGCTATATTCTACTGGCCATCCAGGCTCATGTCCCATCTCTGCACCCGCCACCATGCCAAGCCCCAAACAACTGCGAGCCAGTCCATGGCTCCAACCTGAGCCTTCTGCTGCTGGGCATCTTCATGATCTGTATTGGTGAAGGCGCCATCCGAGCATGCCTACCAGCTCTTGGTGGTGACCAGTTCGACAAATCTGACCCTGTCGAGCAGAGGCTGGAGGCAAGCTTCTTCAACTGGTACACCTTCGCCGTCTCGTTTGGGGGCCTTGTTGGGTTGGTGCTCATCGTCTGGGTGGAGAACAATAAAGGATGGGACGTTGGATTTGCGGTCTGTGCTGGGATCGTGCTCTTGGGCCTTGCAGTTTGGTCTGCTGGATTCCCATTTTACCGGAATCGATTGCCATCTGGAAGCCCTTTCACAAGAATTTTGCAGGTAAGGATTATTAGGAATTGTTCCATGCATGTGCATGCTTTCTATGCTTTTAGCGTTTGAAATTTGTGCAGCAGATGATAAATTGTTTTTTTAGAACTTCTTGTAAAGACAAGAGAGTAACTTTTTTGATCCCCATCTCACCAGTTTTGCAAAATTTAATTGTGTGTAAAAGGTACTTGCTGCTGCATTCAAGAAAAGAAACCTTCAATTGTACAACAATCCAGATGGATTGAATCAGATCACCGGAGGCAATGCAAAAGGAGTTGAAGTTCTAGAAAGAACAAAAGGATTACAGTATGTTCAAAATCCATGCGTTAAGTTATCTTAGTCTCTCTCTTGCATATAATATCTTAATGATTGTTAATCACTGCATGTGTAAGGTGCCTAGACAAAGCTGCCATAGATAATGGAAAAGGAGGATCCTGGTCCCTCTGCACTGTACATCAAGTAGAGGAGACCAAGATTGTTATCCGCATGATTCCGATCTTCATCACCTCTGCGCTTGGCTACATGCCTGCTTCCATAATCCTCACATTCACTGCTCAGCAAGGCAATACCATGAACACGAGGTTTGGCGCGATCAATGTGCCCCCAGCGACGCTCTTTGTCATTCCAACAGTCTTTCAGCTGGTCGTGCTAGTGGTATATGACAGATTTATCGTTCCATTCCTGCGCAAGAAGACTGGTTATGTGGGTGGTGTCACTCACCTCCAGCGCATTGGCATCGGCTTTGTTGCCGCTATTATGGCCAGTGGGGTTGCAGCCATTGTGGAGATGAAGAGGAAGAGTGTTGCAGAACAAAGTGGCCTCATGGATTCACCTGCTCCGGCTCCAATGTCTGTCTTCTGGCTTGTGTTTCAGCTCTTCTTTGTTGGGGTTGTGGATGTTACTTCTTTTGTCGGGCTTCTCGAGTTCTTCTATAGCGAGGCTTCTATCGGTATGAAGTCCATTGGGAGCTCCCTTTTCTACTGTATGATAGGAGTGGCAGCGTGGCTTGTGACTTTGCTTATTCAGTTAATGAATCGGGTCACGAGGGATGGTGGTAGGTGTTAGGATCGATGGTGTACCTCTCTGTAACCGTAGATCCGGGAAGGTTCCTCGCCTTTCTTTGTTGAGGCGCATCGGCAAGCGTGGACGCCGATGCCGCGGTGTAGTAGACGTCGTAGTGGCGAGGAGGTGAAGTCCAGTGGCCCGGTGTAGACCTGCAGGGGCGACGGCGGTGCGGTAGGACATCCCGTCGCTGGCAGCACTTCTTTAGGATTGGATTAGGGTTTTCTGTAGGTGGGATGGCGGCTCCAGTGAACCTCGTAGTCCGAGCCTTGATCCCCACCTTCCTTTTATGTGTGCTGTGCGACAGGGGCCCACCAACCGTATTAGGGTTGGGCTCCCCCGATCAAGGAGCAGAGACAAGGGCCCAATAGGCCCCACCTATTGGTGGAGATCAACTAACATTCTCCCCCTTGATCTCATTCCATCTTTCAATTTCATATCATTTACTTTTGTTCATTCCATTACAGATTAGCGCATAGAGCATGCCTCATCGTCACGGTCCATTGCCGATAGACTTAATAGCTACAACACACTACTCTGTTCTGAAATAGATACTTATCTTTGGGCCTTTTTTATCCAGGAATTTTAGGCTTTCCCTTAAACCCTTGCCAGCTACATGTTCTGTGAATACCATGTTCTCTGAACATGTTGGGTGGTAAGCCTTTTATAAGCGGATCCACGAGCATTCTTTCTGTACTTATATGCTCAAGACTTATGACTTAATCCTAGACTTTATCTTTCACAACATAATACTCTATGTCAATGTGTTTGGCAGCACCACCTGACTTATATTGTGAGCATACTATACTGCCAGATTATAATCGCACTATAACTTAAGTGGTCTATAGATGTCGTCAACCACCTTCAAACCGGGTATGAACTTCTTTAGTCAGTTCACCTGCCCGTTGCCTCATAACACGCTACAAACCGTCATACATTGTGGACGATGTAGTGACAGTTTGCTTTAAACTTTTCCATGAAATAGCTCCCCTTTGCGAGATGATAGAAAATCCACGTCTGGATATGTATTCACTCTCGCATAATCAGAATCTGAATATCCCACTATGTGGAATGAATCAGATCTTCTATATGTCATCATGAGGCATTTCGTTCCTTGCAAATAATGCAAGAATTTCTTTACTAATTTCAGTGTTCTATTTCATAATTGCTCTGGAATCTGCCAAGTAAAACCCGGTAACAAATGCCAAGTCAGGGCACGTACATACTTGAGCATGTTGCAAGCTTCCGACAGCTGAAGCATATGGAACCACTTTCACTTTATCAATTGAGCTCATATTGGTTCCTGGGGCATTGAAAATCCCCATATCTGTCGCCCTTGACTATAGGAGCAGGTGAGGGACTACATTTGTGCATACTGAATTTCTTTAAGATCTTTTCCATGTATGCCTTTTGTGACTGTCCTTATACCCTTTTTCTTCTATCTCGGTGAATCTCGATCCCTAAAACGAATGAGGCTTCGCCAAGATCTTTCATATCAAATTTCTTTGTCTCCAGTAGTAGACTGACATCACTACTAGCAAGTAAGATACCATCTACATACAGGACAACGAAGATAAACTTCCCATTCTTAAACTTTGTATTGACACAATTGTCCTCTACATTTTCTTTACTTTGTATAGACACAATTGTCCTCTACATTCTCTTTAAAACCCAAAATTCTTTATTGTCTGATCAAACTTCAAGTACCACTGTCTTGAAGCTTGTTTTAATCCATAAATGGATTTCTTTAGGCGGCATCACATTCGTTCTTTTCCTTCCATGATAAAACCTTTCGGTTGTGCCATGTAAACATTTTCTTCCAAGTCTCCGTTGAGAAATATCGTCTTTACATCCATCTAATGTAATTCTCAATCGTAATGTGCCACTAATGCCATTATGATTCTGAAGGAAACTTTACATGAGACTGGAGAAAAGGTCTCATTGTAATTAATCCTTTCTCTTTGCATATAGCCTTTTGCCACAAGTCACGCTTTATATTTCTCTATATTCCCTTGAGAGCCAAGTTTTGTTCTGTAGACCCATTTACAGCCTACTGTTTCGGCTCCTTTAGGAATTATTTCGAAGTCCCAAACTTTATTGGCATTCATTGATTTCATTTCATCTTCTATGGCCTCAAGCCACTTTGATGAATGATCACTTCTCATGGCTTCTTCAAATGAGGTGGGATCATCCTCTATTTGAAATTCCTCAGTGTTGTACACTTCATAATCAGCAGGAATAGCTGATTTTCTAACTCTTTGAGACCTTATAGGGGCCTCCACTTTTGGCACATCTTCTGTTTGAGGCTGTTGTTGCTCCCCCTCATGTGTGGCAATAGGTTCTATAGAATCCTGAAGAACAGGTTCCTCATCGTCATTTATTGTTGCCACAGGTGGGATAACAACAGGTGCTGACATCATAGTCTCTTGCACTATCGGTGTAGCGACAACAGGTAGTGAGAAAATTGGCTCATGAATCATTGGAGTGGGTGCATACACCCGCTTCACTTCAAGGATAATTTCTCGAGCTAGCATGCTCCCCCTCATCAATTCATCCTCTAGGAAGACAGCGTGTCTCATTTTCATAAACTTTGTTAGTCCATCTGGACAGTAGAAACAAAAACCTTTTGACTTTTCTGGGTAGCCAAAGAAATGGCACCTTACTGTTTTAGGATCTAACTTCCCAATGTTTGGGTTAAATACTTTAGCCTCAGTAGGGCTCCCCCACACACACGCAAGTGGTTTAGTGAGGGTACTCTTTCTGTCCACAACTCATACGGTGTTTTGGCCACCGACTTTCTTGATACTCTATTGAGAATATAAATGGTGGTTTTTTAACGCCTCCATCCACAGGCTCAATTGTAAGGTGGAGTAACTTATCATACTGCCCTCCATATCTATCAGGGTGCGATTGATTCTTTTAGCTACTCTATTCTGCTGAGGTTCGTCCGGTGTAGAACACTGGGCTACTATGCCATTCTTTTAGGGTATGCCGATCGTAGTACTCACCCACGGTCAGACCTGACTATCTTAATCTTTAATATATTAAATTTATTCAATACATCTTTTCTTTCTTTGATTGGATAAATATAGCCATAATGAGAGTAATCATCTGTAAATGTTATGAACGGATCATAACCATCCACACTCTTTACAGGAAAGTTGACCACAGATGTCTGTGTGAATAATCTTTAAAATTACTGCGCTTCGTTTGTCATCTTTCTTAATCTGAGAGCTCTAATAGAGGAAGAATATCATTCTTAACTTGTCTTTCTATTCTCTCCCTCGAAATATGGTCTAAACGACAGTGACATAATTTCGACAACGCATCGTGAGCTCTCTTATGCCACCATTTCTAGAGTAACAATCTGTCACCAGCTGCTTTATCAGCTGGGTAGCATATGTCTTTGAAGAGCCAGTGAACTGACTCTTTATTCTATCGAGGTACTCGGTGACTGTGTCACACTCTAGGATTGAGCCCACAATTGCAGGTTCAATCATGTTCTTTATCACAGCCAAAACATTTCTTGTTGGCAGTGACCCACTTCCTATGCACAAAAGTCATAGGACTATCTTTTGGGATTCAAAATCCCTCTCTTTAGTTGTTCAAGTGGCATCATTCTCTTTTGTCTCCCTCACTGGTGCCACAAACTCAGTGGAACATGGTGAGGTGACTACCCAGTCCACCTTAGACAAGATGAAAACTAGGTCAAAACTTTTCTTATCATAAAAATAACACCATTTGCATGACTTGATTCCAACGTTGGTCAAAATCAAAACATACAACTATTCTTATACACTAATTCTACATCACCGTTGGGCAGAAATAGAATTAATGCATAAATCATTACCTTTTACAACTGTTCTCATACACTAATTCTACATCACCGTTGGACAGAAGTAGAATTAATGCATAAATCATTAAAATTTACAACTCTTCTTATACACTAATTCTACATCACCGTTGGGTAGAAGTAGAATTAATGCATAAATCAATAAAATTATGATATTGTTATTAACAACGTTGGTCATAAAATAACAACATCATAATCATGTCAAATCTCATTTTCTCCAATTAAATACCACATTGGTTCAAAATAACTGGAGTATAAACAACTTTTCTTTGGCTATGGAAAAACTCTATTTTTCTTGAATTTTACCCACATGGAAAATTGCTTTTTCTATTTTCTTTAATCCATTAATCCATTTCTAGGAAATAAACCTTTACTGGAAAACCTTTCTTTTTCTCCAGTTAAATATCACGTCGGTTCAAAATCACTAGAGAATATACTTTTTCTTTAGCAGCGGAAAACGTATACTCCATTTCTTGAATTTTACCCATAGGGAAAAATTACTTTTCTATTTTTCTTTTGAGCCAATTTGCATTTTCAATTTTCCGAAAAAAAAAAAAAAAACGAAACTAGACTCTTGTTCTTCCTGTGTCGGCCCAAACCAGTCAAAACCGGCTTGGCCCATCTGTCACACACAAGACAGAGCGCGCACCTAGGCCGCAACTGGGCTGGGCGGCAAAAGTGCAAAGGCTGCCTTCAGCCATACTGCTGGGCGGCGGCGGCCGATCAATCTCGGCCATCTGCGCCGATCCGGCAGTCGAGCGTCGATTTCGGGCGGTATAAAAACCCGCCGACGTCGGGTTCCTCAGAAACCCTAGTTCATTTTCCCCTTCCCACTCTCTCTCTTCTCTCTCTCAGCCGCAGTGGCTCCCCTCTTCACTTCTCCTCAGCGCAAGGACAGGAGCCACCGAGAGCGAGAAGGCGAGCGAGCGGATGGTGGAGTGAGGCAGCCCTGGCGCCGTCGCTGACCCCCTCGCCGGCGCACATGCTCCCCGACGGGTGAGCATGCCGCCGTCGAGCGGCCTGGCCGCGGCGCCCCCTTCGCCGAGCCCGGCGAACAGCCCGCCCCCGGCTCGGCCCTTCTTCTCCCGCGTCGGCGAAGGGCCATCCCGACACACGGCGAGGTTTGTCCCGTCCCCTTTCCCTTTCTCTTTCTTCGATTTGGATTGATCTCTGTTTTTTGAACCGGAGGTGGGGATTAGGGTTAGGGTTTCTTTGATTCCTTTTCTTTCTTTTGATTCAACCGATTCGGTTTTCCTCTTTGGAGTTCATCCGAATCGGGGTCTAGGGTTAGGGTTCGTGTGCCGACCCCTGTTCTTTTTCTCTTCTTTGGATTTTTCTTTTCTTTGATTTCTTTTCTTTTCGGATTTGATTCCGATTGGGATGGGGATGAAATTGGGGTTAGGTCTTAGGGTTTGGCCAAATCCGAACCCACTCTTCTTCTTCTCCGAGCTTTCTACGCGGGTTAGGGTTAGGGTTCTTGAGATCCTTTTCCCCTTTCTCTTCTCTGATCTGAACACGGATCTTTTCTGTTCTTGCCATGCGCCAGTGAGAACGGCGGTGCGGCATGTCTTCCCCACGCGGTGGCGGTGGTGACCGGGGTTCCAGTGACGTCCGCCACCCCCGGTCCCTTTTCGCTTTGCTTTTACCCGGTTAGGGTTAGGGTTATACAGAGGCAACCTAGCTCCGATACCATTGTTAGGATCGATGGTGTACCTTTCTATAACTGTAGATCCGGGAAGGTTCCTCGCCTTTCTCTGTTGAGGCGCATCGGTAAGCATGGACGCCGATGCCGCGGTGTAGTAGACGTCGTAGTGGCGAGGAGGTGAAGTCCAAAGGGTCTGTGTAGACTGCGGGCGCGCGGCGGTCGCGTGAGGACATCCCATCATTGGCAAAGACTTCTTTAGGATTGGATTAGGGTTTTCTGTAGGTGGGATGGCGGCTCCAGTGAACCTCGTAGTCCGAGCCTTGATCCCCACCTTCCTTTTATGTGTGCTGTGCGACATGGGCCCACCAACCGTATTAGGGTTGGGCTCCCCCGATCAGGGAGCAGAGATAAGGGCCCAATAGGCCGTTGGACCTATTGGTGGAGATCAACTGACAGTAGGAAGCAAGGGTGGCTGGATGGAGCAAATCTTAACAGGAATAAGCTTGATTCATTCTATTGGTTGGTCTGTGTTATTGAGCTCCTGTCATTCTTGGGTTACATCTACTGGGCCCGATGGTATGTCTATAGGAATGACCAAAGAGTGGTTGACAAGGACAACAAGTCTCTAGTAGATTGTGATATGGATGAGATATAACTATGAACATCTGGGATAATAAAAGCTAAGCTAGTTTCTTGCAAAGCCTAGAGGCAATTTGGCATGCTAGCCAGGCAGCTCTAAAATTGATATTTGTACTAGTCAACTTTGATATGAAGATGTTTGTGTGGAATTTTTAGACAGCATGTTTTCATATCACTAGGTCCATCTTTATGTGTATGGGCAAGCCGAAAAGCACAATGTTTAATATGGTTAGTTTACACGAAGAATGGATGGTAGTAGTGCGTACAAAGAGAGGTAGCTGATAGAGCAACTTAGTCAAGGGGAAATTTTGTTGCTTTATTTATTTGTGGCATGCTTGTCGTCTTTGTTATGGTATCTTGCACTTATTTGTTGTACTGACTTGTGCATTTGTAGTACGTTAACAATTTAGGATTGAATTACATCTTGCACTGAATGGTTAGAGGATGCGGTTGAGTCTAATGTCTAATCGACGCATATTTCACTCAGAACAACATAGTAGCCTAGAGCATATTTTGCACCTACAAACATTAATTTGTACCTAAAGTTGATAGGGAGGCATATGTTAGTGCAATGTTAATTGATTATGATAAATTCAAAGAAAAAGTACTGTTCAAATTTTATGTGTGAAAGCCTCGGCTATTTTCTACCTGTTACATGCCAACATGTACTATGAGTGGTGAAGTAAATTTCAAAAATTATGTACCTATCATGTTGCTGTGGAATGTTTATATAGTGTTTTGTCTCCCATTGTCTTACGTTTATGGGTTCGTAATTGTAACATTGCCAACGTGAATAGGTTAATGGTTGTTGCATACATTTATAGAAACAATTAAATGTGCGTTATTGTTCTGTTCATCGATGTAGCCCTTCACATACCATTAGCCTGTTTCTTGAGTGCAATGACCAATCTGCTAGACACCCCACACGATTGTAGACAAACGTCCTCCCATAGTCGAGTGAACCACCTCTAGCACCAATCGAACCAAAGATCCAGCGCCTGATGATGGGTAAGTCTACCTCAAGTGCCCTCAATGCTCGTGGAGGGCAATGAGTTGGTGGGATGACTACCCTCGAGACAAGACCTCGAGCAAATGCCTCACTAGAAGATAGTAACCTGACCTCCCAGACTTAATTGGGTGGCAGCGTGAGACTGTCTGGGCTAGAAGCGGTAAGCACATGTTAATACGAGATGAGGGACATAGCAACTGGCAAATATCACCGGGCCACCTAGGTGGCATAAAGGGTGTGGGGCAGAGATTGATTAAACAAGATGAGCAACATGGCAGCAGCTAGACCTAACTTGGATGGGAGCTCTTGACTTAGAGACGACCCGAGAGGAGGGTATATGGGGCTGAACAATTACTATTGGAGATAAAATGCAATTACAGTTATGGTCGTAGCAAAATAACTCTTATTCCAATAATTGCTTTTTAAAATCAACGCCAGCAATATTTACACACAAAAATACCTAGAAGTACCAGCTTTCCACTACCAACCACTTTAAGAAAGCTCATAATTCGTAGGTTGGGGCCGGTTGTGGTGACATTTGCATATATATATTTTTTTCACTAATGGCTGAGTCTACAAAAGAGAATTTCAGGAGCCCAGTCAACAAATGTGATGTAATCCACAGTTTGTAGGAAGGAGATCTATGAGTATTGTTCAACAAGCACCAATTAAGTATTCATTAAGACACGATCATTGTCTTTATTGGTGTCGTTTCACTGTCCTTGGACTGTTGGACATCCTTTGCCAGGTGGTTTGTTCCTCACTGGACAGTGGACACTGCTTCCTTTTGTTAAGCCCTCTTTCAGACCTGTTTTCTTCATCGATCTGCCAAGAGAAGAGCCGCTACACATAGCACCAGGCATGAGCCAACAAACAAGCTTAGATTGCAGAGCATAATCTGGAAGATTTTCACACAAAAAACTGGACCTGCGGGGGTATGACCACCCCGGGTATTGCATTAAGAAGAAGAAGACCTTCTCACGCATGTCCAGAAAACCCCCGAACCCCTGCTCCACCCATACACAGCGGCATCGTAGCCCTATGAGAACGGTGCCGTTCCTTAGACTTGTGCTTTGACGTGGGACAGACGAGAGGATTTTTTTAACCCCAGCCTAAAATTCGCTCCCACGGGGAGTTGAACCCAGGACCTGAGGAGTGCTGCTGAGACGCGCTAACTAGTTGGACTAGAGGCCCTTTGACAAGATTTTCACACACACACGCGCGCAGAGAGAGAGAGAGAGAGAGAGAGAGAGAGAGAGAGAGAGAGAGAGAGAGAGAGAGAGGAATGGGCGGTTCATCAGGCCTTGTGGACTGGAGAGGACGGCCGGTGAACACCAAGAAGCACGGAGGAGTGAGAGCTTCAATCATGGTAGGCCAGTAGTACTAGCATAGCATCCATAGTTCATGGGGCCTGTTTCTTTTGAGTGCTCTCAGACCCTTGCTCAACTGTTGAGTCCAGTAATCGTCGATGATATAAAGTTCCCTTTTCAAAGTGTTTCAGATCTGCTTTCTCATAATCTAAAAGTATATATGCACGGTTGCACACAACACACATCTGGTTTAGATAGCTTATTATAATGTCTTCTTTAGCTAGGTTGCTCATCTAGTCATCTTACCTACTCCTGCTTTTTTTGTTCTCTCCAATAATTCAGACAGACGTGACCTATTTTGTTTCACTGGACATTGACATCGCCATGGTTGATCTTAGCAATCGGTTTCTCTATCAAACGTTCCGTTTCACATGCACAAGGCTCCTTCCGTCCTGCTCACAGTTTTTACCTGTTCGTGCACCTCGATCTTCCTTGCAGCGCTGGTGCTGCTCAGCAACGCAGCCAACATTGCCAACATACTGAATCTTGTAAGCTACCTGCGCGAGGAGATGCACATGGATGTGGCGAGGGCCTCTACGATGGCGATCAACTTCTTTGCCGCGCTGCAGATGTTCTCCATCCCAGCAGCCTTCCTTGCTGACTCCTACGTCAAGCGCTTCTACACTGTCCTCATCTTTGGCCCAGTCGAAATACTGGTATTGTATAAGTTGTTACTCCATTTTTTCAGACAAGGTGCCTCTATATTTTTAATTGTTCCTTCTAAGGTATTACTTGTTTCAGGAAAAAAGATAATATTCCTGTTCTACACATGCTCAACAGTTTCCTTGTCATGTGATCATGCCAACTGCTAGCTAGTTGTGTAGTGGAGACACAAGTCTTGTCATTTTCATCTTTGTTTCATGGTCAGTAACTAAAGTGTAATAATTGTCAGATTGAACAAATGCACTCAGATCCGATCCGATCCAAAAACATGCTCATCATGCACATGTCGCAGGCTCGCAGCGCTCTGCGAAGTGGTACAAAACCAAACTATTGGGATAAGATGATGCTTTTGCTTTAATATGAACTGACATAATGTTGGTCTGACATGGTGTATAGTAATGAACCAGCACATATATATCTTTGTTGAACGCATAACAGAAGATTATTAAGTTTTTTGTGATGCATTGCATTGGTGAGGATGCAGCAGTGACTAGAACGAAGATATGTAGAAAACTTCTCTCAACGCTTAGTGTACAAGTGTATCATCTATTGCCTTCTGGTTTGAAGCTAGTACAAACTTTCAACAGCTTCATTGGTGAGTTGATCGGTGCCACTCATATCATTTGAGTAGATTGATGGACTAGAATTAGTGTTATGCTGCCTTTTGGGTTAGAGCTTTGGAATTACTCTCCGTGACCAAAAAGTCAGTAAGCACTGGAGGTTGATGGAGCTGGTCTTCTCCTATATTCTTCGGTGGTGGTCTGTCGTCACTCTGCTGACTTTATTTAGGTGTCACGTATGAGTAGTTGGTGATCTGTCACTCCGGTGACTTTAGTATTTGGTTGGGTAAGTAGGGTTACCAATAATGATTGGTACTCTATTTGTGGGCACTCGGCAAACGAGTCACTGAAATGTGGGTGAGTCCTAGGCAGGGTTACGATTTTTTGCCCTACTTTAATTTTTTATTCAGATAATTAACATTTGTTTAGGTTTTTCAAATTTTAGCTAAAATTTCACAATGTTTCAAAAGCTTTTGCGGGAATTATGGCAATTTTCGATCTGTTTCTACCAGTCCCCTTTGGTGTTGGTTCATACTTACGTTCTTCTGGAACTATATTGTTTTCTAGGCATTTAACTTCTCCATTCTTCTGGATCTATATTGTTTAGTTCTACACATTCTCCAATATGTCTAGTTTCGCACCCTTAAAATTTCTTGAATTTTATCCTTAGTAGTGTACAAACTGTTTAGATGTGCAATTTCACCTATTAATCTCCAGAACATATAAAAATATCAAATCATCAAAGTAAGACATCAGACATTACTGCTGATCAAAGAACCAATTTAACCAGAAATGATTTTAACCATCTAATTATTAGAAACGAAAAAAAAAAGAGATGTAGGACTAATATAACTAAGCACGGTGATGTGCAGGGCTATATCCTTCTGGCGGTCCAAGCGCATGTCCCATCTCTGCACCCGCCACCGTGCGTCGCCGGACAGCAGGCAACCACCACCTGCGAGTCCGTGCACGGCTCAAACCTGGGCCTGCTCCTGCTGGGCCTCTACCTGATCCCCATCGGCGATGGCGCGGCTCGGGCGTGCCTCCCGGCTCTGGGCGGGGAGCAGTTCGACACGTCCGATCCCGTAGAGCAGAGGCAGGAGTCGAGCTTCTTCAACTGGTACACCTTCGCCATCTCGACGGGTGGCTTCGTGGGGCTCGTCTTCATCGTGTGGGTGGAGAACAGTAAAGGCTGGGACCTCGGCTTTGTCGTCTGTGCCTTGTTTGTGATCCTGGGGATGCTGATATGGATTGCAGGCCTCCCGTTCTACAGGAACCAGCTGCCAACTGGTAGCCCCATCACATGAATATTGCAAGTATGTAGTATTGATCAAACAATATATATGTTAACTTCATGGATAATGTTTTGTTTATTTGCACGGTACTGCTAATACACTTTCCACACTCTCGTTAGGTTCTTCTAGCAGCATTCAAGAAAAGAAAAGTTGCATTACCAGCCAACCCCAGTGAGCTAAAACAAACAGGGCAAGACGACGCAGGTGCCCTGGAAATGCTGCATAGAACTGATGGATTTCAGTAAGTAGCTAGCTGGAGAACATTCCAATTATTCCTCCAAACATTGTGGTGAAATGCAACAAAAAATGTCCGGTCTTTTATGTTTCTTTTTTTTCAGCTGCCTTGACAAAGCAGCAGTAGACACCGGAAACACTGGAGCCTGGACTCTCTGCAGCATAACCCAGGTGGAGGAGACCAAGATCATCCTCCGCATGGTGCCCATCTTCCTCAGCGCTGTGCTCGGGTACATTCCGGTGCCGCTCATCCTCAATTTCACAGTGCAGCAGGGCAACACAATGGACACCAGGCTTGGTGCAGTTCACATCTCACCCGCAACGCTGTTCGTCATCCCTACGGTTTTCCAGATGGTTATCGTCATCGTTTACGACCGGTTCATTGTCCCGTTCCTAAGACGAATAACCGGGTACGTGGGCGGTGTCACGCACCTCCAGCGCATCGGCATCGGGTTCCTTTCAACCGTAGTGGCCACCAGCATTGCAGCCCTAGTGGAGGCCAAGAGGAAAAAGGTGGCAGAAGACAGTGGCCTTGTGGATGCTACAACTGGAATTCCAGTGTCTGTTTTCTGGCTGACCATACAGTACTTCCTCCTAGGTGTTGTGGATGTCACCTCCTTTGTAGGGCTTCTTGAGTTTTTCTACAGTGAGGCGTCCATGGGGATGAAGTCCATTGGGAGCTCCATCTTCTACTGCATCCTTGGGGTGTCTGCTTGGCTGGGGAGCCTGTTGATCCAATTGGCAAACCGATTTTCAAGACACAATGATGGTACAGGAGGCTGGCTTGATGGCACAAACTTGAACAAGGGGAAACTTGATCGATTCTATTGGTTGCTAGCAGTTCTTGAGGTGGTATCACTATTAGTGTACACCTTTTTCGCTTGGAGCTATGTTTACAGGAATGACCAAAGGGTTGTGGTTGATGGAGATAATAACGCTCCATCAGATGGTGCGGTGCCATAAATGTGATCTGATCACCTGCAAGTGTTTCAAAGGAGGTATTTATGAATGGTGACGTGGACAATTCATGGATTAGCATGCACTCAAGCAAATCAGCTGAGAAATATATTTCTGGTTGGTTTCATACTCCCTTTGTTGGTCACAAATAAGTGATGGTATTAATACATTATTGAAAAAATACGACTTCAACTAGTAGGTCTTGTTGTAATATATATTTGTGACGTTGAGCACTCTTGTTGGCAGTTTGAGTTGGAAAACACATGCATGTAATGTTGAGAAAACCATATTTAACTGTTTACCCCCATTAAGTTTATTTCTTTTCTCTGGTTTTCTTAATTCCATGTCATACCATCCCATGTATTAATTAAATGTTACAACCAGTGGCGGATCCAGAAAAAAATATTTAGGGAGGGGCTAGGCCAAAGAGAGCTAGACCAACCTAACTCAATTAAATCTCATACAAAGCTCATAGATAGCAGTTTTAAACCTTTTAAATGACAACTTAGATAAACAATTGAAACTGCATCATAAAACGCATAAGAAGAAGAAGTAAAATATAAAAATTTTATAACTAACCAACAGAAGATCAATAAATGATGATGCATTCTCATTGCCATATTATTCATAAATCATTAGAAGCAATCTATATACAAGAAAAGAATAAATTAGTGACACAAATTTCAATTATTTAACTTTAAAGTTTTGAAGGTAGAAGGGAACATATATCATACTACTAAATTGTTCCGAGGCACCAATATACGACGGGTTTTCATGTCTTCAAATTGTTTTATGATTTTGTCATTCTTGATGCTTCTAAATATCTCCTTCTCAGTGTAGCATATCATTAAGTAATTGAGCCATTCATCACCCATTTTGTTACACAAATCTATCTTTACAATAGACATAACACAAAATATCCACTCAACTGAAGTTGTTACCACCGGAAGAGTTAATGTTAATTCAATGAGCCGATACACCAAATGATAAGATGTGTTCATTTGAGTCTTGACTATAATTTCAGCAACCTTTCCAAGCTCCGTACAACTAAGAAAATCTTGTGTTCTTCTAGCACAACTGACGAAGGCTCTCAGCTGATTTGGGAAAAGAAGGTCACCAACATCAATTTTCACAGCATAAATTTAAGCAAGTCTCACAAGCTTATCCACATCAAAATTAAAGAAGGAGTTTCTTGGGTAAAGACAAACCATGCATACTAATAATTCTAAACTAACTTCACCAAATCGATGATTCATCACTGACAAAATGGCATCTATGGCAACAAGGAAAACCTCAACATGGTAGAAATGCATGTTTGTTCTTTGGTTCATAAAGTCATCACAGTTTAGCCTAGCATCATTGTGAGTATTGCAAGTAGGGTGGCAATTAAAAGTCCTTACATTTTTTCCAATTATCACAACCTTTCATTGCAAAGACAGAACTACCAAAATTTTCAGGCTTTCCCAGATCAAGAAAAGATAATAATATAAGCAATAAGCTTCATCCTTGGACTCACAATACTCAAGCCAATCAAACTCGTCAAACCAAGTTTGTTGAAATGATCTCCATTGACCACTTTCCCATTTACAAGCAAAGGTAAGATTACGAGGTTGGGTTAGACCTCTGAAAGCATATGCCCTTCTTACTTGGTCTTTAATTTCATGTGGATATTCTTCATTTGGTTTGCGATTTTCAGGATCACCAACTACATCGGATTGACTAAACTCCACTGTACGTATCTTTGGTTGATTTGTGCTGCCATTAGTGCCCGGAGTTGTTGATGTACCGGTACCATTTGAGCTACAAAAATATTTGTGCAATGTTCTTTTGGACATATTGAACAATCTACAATTTATTAAATCTTAATCAAATTTTGAACAATTACAAAGTTCAAAAGGCATCTAAAGAAAAAGAATAGGTATTCGATATACCTGTCTCACTAACTCTGACTCTAACTCACTGTCTGTCTGCATCTGCTGCATGGCCCACTAGCTGTCTGGCCGAGCCACCGCGCCAAGGCCCCGGGCCGGCTGGCCGGCGCCTAGCAGGCCCGGCAGGCACTACTATGATGCGCGGTTGCGCTGCGTGGCGGCACGGCCGACGCTGCCTCCCGTGCTCCCGCCCTACGCTCGGCCTCGACGGTCTCCGCTCCACCGTCCGTGCCTCCACTCACCAGTGACCGGTACCTCCGTCCTCCACAGCTAAGGCGCTAATCCTAGCAGGCTAGCAGCGACCGCTCGCCTTGCCCGTGACCAATAGAGGAAGGAAAAAATCCAGTCCTATTTCTTCCCCTGATGGGCTAGCTACTGACTGGCTTCTCTACTCAACATGACAACATGTCTAAATGGGAAGCTGAAACACACATACTGGTCTAGGAAGGAAGGCCAACTGGGCAACTCATTTCCATCCTACGTCCACCAGCGTCGTTTAGGACTCCAGGCGCTTCTTCCTATTGTTAATGGTTGAAATTTTTAGGGGGGAGGGCTAAGGGGGGCTCCAATGGTGCGGCCGGGGTAGGGGGCTCGAGCCCCTCTGCCCTGGTGGTAGATCCTCCCCTGGTTACAACCTCTCTCAACATTGGTTGAATTATTTGGATTTTTTTTTGAGGAAACTGGAGGGGCCAAGGCCCCTACAGAAGTTTATTTAAAACGAAAGAGCAACCAGAGTACAAAGACATCGGAGTACAAAGCAAGGACTGAGCTAAGCTAGACTGAATAAAAAAGAAAACATAAATTTAAGAAACAAAAGAAGGAGACAAAGAAAATGGGCCTAACGCTCTGATCAGTTACAGAAGCTGGATCCATTGGTTGAAGGCAACTGACAAGCTAGCTTTTACCCTTAGGGAGACTAACTTTATCTCTTGAAGAAAAAAATCCTGCAATCTTGAATCCCAACTTGATTATTATTGAAGATCAGTTCATTTCTGGCCCACCAAATTATCCAACACATGAGAATGATAGCCACCATGAAGAACTGACTTTGCATTTGCTCCTTGATAGCCAACACATTTTCAAAAGTCCCCGTACATGAACTGTCTGCAGATTTAAAATTCCCCAGCACTGCTGGGTAAAAGGGCAACACCAAAATAAGTGTTCTACAATTTCTTCCACCATGAGAGAGTAGATTTCACAGTTATATGATTCCAAAGTCATACTTTTCCTTCTAAGAATATTTCTTGTACTCAATATGTCTTTCAAGAGTAACTAGTAAAAGACCTTGTGTTTTGGCTGGCAATAAGATTTCCAGAGCCACTTGAATGCTGGGTCAATTTCAGTATGCCCAAGCATTTTTTTTTATATGCTGCTGCTGGCTTAAATTTTGTTGAGTCTCCAGAATAAATCTAAGCATCATTGTTTAGATCATCTAGGATTGTGTTTTCCAATATCTGTTGAATCTCCAGAGCTTGCTCAAAGGCTAGTTGAGACAGAGGTAAATTAAAGAGATCAATAAAACTTTCTTTTTCATAAGCTTTCTTGAAAGAAATGAATTTATTCTTTGCAAATGACAGAGCCCAAGGAAACTGTTCTTCAAGAGTTTGGGTAGCCCATTTGTCCTTCCAGAAGAAACAAGTTTGCCCATTTCCATCTTGAACAATGGCCATCTTTTTAAAGGTGCCTAGGGTTTTTAAAGTGTCCCTCCACCAGAAGGACCGCTTCTTCACAGTACTAGGTAGCCTGCCATTTCTGTAGTGTTTTCCCATTCCAGTTTTACACAAGGGATGTCCCTCTTGTTGTAGAATTTATCTAGGTTTTTCATTAGAAGAGCTTGGTTTTGAAGCTCCAGATTGATCATTCCCAAACCTCATTCTTCCTTTGAGGTGTAGACCATTTCCCAGGCTACTTTAGGAAAACTTCCTCCATTTATATTTGTTCCCCTCCACAGGCAGTTCTTTATGAATTTGTCAATTTGTTTTATTACAGCTTTGGGGAGTTCCAAAGTGCACATGTAGTATGTTGGCAGTGATGAGAGGACTGCATTGGTGATTTGCAGTCTTCCAGCTTGATTCAACATAGAAGAAATCCCACCGAGTCTTCTTTCACAGTTGTTAACTAGGGGTAAAAAATCAATAACTTTTAGGTTGGTAACTCCAAGAGGCAGACCCTAGCGTGTGAAAGGAAGAGTTCCTTTTGAGCAGCCAAAGGTCCTTGCTAATAGATCAAGCCTTTCTTCTGAGATGTTAATTGGCAGCATCATTGACTTATTATAGTTCACATTTAGACCTGTTGATTCAGAGAAGTTATGTAGTAGTGTCTTCAAGAAGACTAACTTCCTAGGGCCCCCCTCCATGATTATCAGAGTATCATCCGCATATTGAACAATAGGGAAATCAGTGTCTGTCTGCATTGGAATTAGTAGACTAACTAGTCCCATGTCCTTGGCCTTGTTGACTAAGACTTGTAGAAAATCAGCAGCAAGTACAAACAGCAAGGGGGAGAGAGGGTCGCCCTGTCTAACCCCCCTCCTGCAGTGAAATGTCTTCCCTGGCACACCATTTAGCAGAGAGGATGTACCATAATTGAAGATGGCCCTCATCCAAGAAATCCATTTTTGACTGAACCCCTAAGCTTCCATAATTGAAATCATAGCCTGATGTTCTATTTTATCAAAAGGCTTTTCAAAGTCCAATTTGAGGATGACCATCTCCTTTGACTGATGACAGAAGTGAATGTACTCAAATGCCCAAGCAAGACAATCTTATATTGTTCTGGTTTTGATAAAACCATATTGGTTCTTATGCACTAAAGGAATGATTGAGGATTGCAGTCTGTTAGCCAACAGCTTAGTCAGGAGCTTAATAGAAGAATTGAGCAAGGATATGGTCTTGTAGTCATTCACATATCTAGCATTCATTGTTTTGGGGATTAGAGTAATGTAGGAAGAATTTGTACTCTGTAAGTGGCAATTATTGTTGTAGAAGCTACTGTAAAGATCATAGAAGTCATGTTTAATCACTAGCCATGATGCCTTTAGAAACTCATTATTGTAACCATCCAGCTCTGGAGATT